ACCTTAGACACAAATAAAACATTTTTTATGAATTTTCAACTACAAAATTACTTTTAAATTGAAGCATTATTTTGACAAGTTTTGCTGTACACAGACACAAAAACAAAAAAACACATATTGAAGAAATCTACAATCTATATATATAATTTTTTTGTATAATAAGTGACAGAAAAAAAAATAAAACAGATAACATGATTCATGGGATTAAGGAGGATACCCAGTGGTAACACCCTATAAATGACAGAATAACAATGAAGAAAAAATATATATATATAAACATTTTTTTTTTTTTTTGGTTTGGAGGTGTTACCTGTTTACGACCTCCAGCACTTATTAAGCTTACTTACTATAGAAGAAGATCTCTACACCATTGCCTTTTAAGTCTACGGCGCGGGTCATTAGGGAGTGTTTTCGTTGATAATTTAGAGATTAGTGGATTTGTATGTTGTTGAAGTTTGTTGTGAAGTCTGGTGTAGTATAGTTTTGAGATTTGGTTAAGATTTTGGATTTTAAGATCTTTGTGGAGGTTATTGTTGGTTAAATACCAGGGTGCAGATGTGACTAGGCGAAGGCATATTGATTGGAATGCTTGGATTGTACGGGTGTTTGAGGGTTTAGCGGCTCCCCATAAGTGAATGCCATAAGTCCATAATGGCCTGAGTAAGGACTTATAGATTAGTAGTTTGGTATTTATATTCATTTTAGATTTAAGTAATGGTCTTAGGAGGTGAAGTCGGGTATTAAGGGCTTTTCGTTTGGCTTTTAGGTGAGGATTCCAGGTAAGTTTACTGTCGAGGATGAGACCAAGATATTTAACTTCTGATTAGGAGGGAATTGAGATGTTGTTCATTGTGACTGAGGGGCAAAAGCCTTTTTTTAGGGTGAATGTAATGAAGGAGGACTTGGATTCATTAATTTTGATCTTCCATCTTTTTGTCCAGAGGTTAATTATGTTGAGGTGTTTTTGTAACATACTAGAAACAGTGATTGGGTTTTCATTGCAGGCCACAATTGCTGTATCATCCGCGTAGGAACCGAGTTCGGTGAAGGAAGTTTTAGGAATGTCATGCGTAAAGATATTGTATAAGAAGGGAGCAATATCGCTGCCTTGGGGAACTCCGGCTAAGATGTTAAAGTAGTTTGAGTGGCTCGAGTTCTGGCGTACGACAAAAGTACGATCGCTCAAATATGATTTAATCAAAAGGAAGTATGGGGCAGGCAGAAATTTTTTAAGTTTGAAAAGTAGGCCATCAAACCAGACTCTATCAAACGCTTGTGCAACGTCTAAAAAGACAGCAGCGCAGTAGTGTTTTTTCTCTAGAGAAACTGAGATGGTGTCAACTACTCTATGGAGTTGGTGAATGGTAGAGTGATTGGGTCTGAATCCAAATTGAGTGTCGGGGATAACTTTTGCCGTAACAGCTAGCGGAATAAGCCTCTTTAATAGGATTTTTTCGAATACTTTAGATAATGTAGGGAGTAAACTTATAGGGCGATAAGAAGTTACTTTTTCGGGAGGTTTGTTGGGTTTTGGAATCATTATTATCTCTGAAAATTTCCAGATTAGGGGGTAATAGGATAAACGCAACATTGCGTTATAAATATAGGAAAGTAATACGATTACTTTTTTGGGTAGGTTTTTGGCAGTACAATTTGTAATTCGATCAAACCCGGGGGCTTTTCTGTTGTGGAGTTTTTTAATAATAAATTCGATTTCACCAGGACTTGTGTGCTTAGCTGGGAGTGAGACGGGTAATGCAGACTCTAAGGAATGTGAGACAATTTGACTTTGAGTGGGATTTAGAGTTATGTCATGTGGAGTGAAAGTTTGAGATAGATGTTGGCCAAATAGGTTTGCTTTTTCTATGTCAGAGACCACCCATGAATTATCTTCTTTACGGAGAGGAGATGAAGTTGAGACAGTTTTTAGGATTTTTTTTGTCGTTTTCCAAAGACAGGAGTTATGAGTTGTTAAGTTTTGGATATATTGTTGATAAGTGACGGAGTTGTGTTGTTGGAGTGCTTTCCTAAGTTTGTTATTTAGTTGGTTGTAAGTATGTTTGTCGATGGGGTATTTGTGCCTTTGCCAACGGGATATTGCTTTTCGTTTTTCTCGGAGAAGATATTTTATATGATTTGGAAGTAGGTTATTGGGGTGAATTGTGGTTGGTGTTGTTGCTAAGTGTGTACATTCTTGGATATCTGAAGTGAGCTTTTGGATAGTATTATCAATGTCTTCGCTTGATTTTAAGGAAGGGTTGAGTTGTGTACGAGTATCGATGAGTTGTTGGAAAGTTGGCCAATCTATTTTTCCAAGATTTTGAGGATTTGTGAAGGAGTTTGAACAGGGAATTTCGAGGTCGAGTATGACTGGTGTGTGGTCGGATGACAGGTCATTTGTGTTGGAGGTAATAGTAATGGAGTTACTTGGTACACTGGCGATGAAGATATCGAGGATATCTGGGCGGCGGTTTTGATGTGTTGGCCAATAGGTGGGGATGATCATTAACTACACGCAAACATACACGCCACGCACGCACGTATTTACAAAATGTCTAAAAATTGCCTATACTCAACTCCTTAAAAATGGTCGGTATGGAATCCCCGTAAGCAGTTGTTCCAAATACTGATTTCTATACCAGTATAGAAGTGTTTAGTAAAGAAATCAATAAAAAAAAGTAATAAAATTATTTAGTATAAAAGTAACAGTAAGTATTTAGTATAGAAGTATGTGGTTCTAAAGCGTAGATTTGTTCTCCGTGTTCCAAATCCAGTTATATCTTTTATAATAATTACGTGAAGATCAAGATTTTCAAAAAAATTTGAATGAGAAATAGTGCATCCATGTTAGAAAAAACAAATCGCTGTACTGATCCTTCTATTCTCGTACACGCTAAAGAAAAATAATTAGAAATATTTAAAAATAATTAAATAGAAATGGACATTCAAGTTAGGGTGAATAGAAATCATAAAATCTATAGCAGACCCTAGTATATTACCGGTTAATGTTTTTATATAATTAAAATAAATTGTTGTAAATAAAAAACTTTTACATTTAAATAATATTTTTTAAGTGGCACACTGCGACGGAAACAACGATGAGGCAGGTAATCTATGTCCAATTTTAATTGTCATATTCTATTTGCGTTTATTAAATATTTTCATTCATACAAATTAATTTTTTTTAATATCTGCCAAGTTAGTTAATTAATAAAAAAATAAATTAAAATAATATAATTATAATTTATTTCTCTTTAATTCTCAAAATAAAATTGATTATTAAAACATTGTAATTATTTTCTTTATTACAGTAAACATCATACTCTTGTTTGGAAATCTACATCTATTGGAAGGTAGATAGAGAAGCCAAGATGGAACCACCAATCCATACTGAGTTTTTCCTTTCTGTAGGAGCAATGATCTTTATTTTCATTGTAGATGGAGCCAAAGTAGTAATTTATTTTTGCATTCGGTCAGTAATGCCTGGGTACATGGTAATACTACCAGATAATACAGTGTTGGAATACAAGTCCTTACGGATACCTACGTCGCACTTCATGATGGAGTTGTATGTAGTTCATGGATATCACAAGCTTCCATTCCTAGGAATGAAAGTTAGAAAAGAGCTTCCGGGTAACGGAATTTTTCATTTCCAATTATAATGACTTGTCCATCAGACAACAAATCATAAGATTTCTCCGATAAGCTGAAGGGAGCAGCAATAGCAATTTCTTATTCAAAGTACAAAGCTACATAGCACAATTTTTCCTTAATGTCATGAACAATTTCTCTCCCGGCTGTTGTTGTAGAACTGTTGCCAAGTTCAGTCAAAATTTTCATAACGTAATCTATTGGATCACGGCCAGCAAGATCCAGACGAAGGAAAGCATGAGGTAAAGCATATCCTTCATAGATTGGAACGATATGAGATACACCGTCCCAATCTATGACGATACCAGTAGTACGACCAGATACATACAATGAAAGTACAGCTTACATGCATTGTAGGATTGTTGAATGTTTCATACATAATCTGGGTCTTATTTACTTTTATAAAATGTTATTTTAGGTCTTTACATTTTTTTAAAAATTGACCACTTACATGAAAAGTGACAAATTTAAATTGTCTTATATTGTCTATATATTTACTCCACAAAAAATATTTTACTCAAAATTGCTTTTTAAATGTTATAATTCATAATTTGAAAGTTTATACTAATAATTTGATTAACATCTAGAACAGCGGTTCTCAAACTTTTTTTTTCGCGTACCACTTGAATATATTATCAGTAATGTATCACTAATAATAGAACCATATAAACTTTACATAATAAAATACATTTATTTTAAACATAAAGGCATTAAAATACTACAATAAAATTACTATTTATTTATTAATAAAAATGTATTTGTGTTTTTAAATTAATAGAAGAGTTAAATATCAAATTTTTAATTTCTGTTCTATCACGGCCTTTCGCGTACCACCTTATAGTCTTTCGCGTACCACTGTTTGAGAACCGTTGATCTAGAATATTGGATCTAACAGACAATAATCCACTCCACTTTTATAACTAACATAGCAAGTTTTTTTATATTGTACCAAATATTTTTTACCTTGTATAAAACTTAAACTTCAATATCTGAATAGCAGAATTTATTTATGTAATTCATAAAAACTTATTGTAGTATTGTTAATTATGAAATTATGAGTTAATAAAAGAAATGTTGATATATATATATGTATAAAAAAATATAAACTCACTAGTGAATATTACTGAACAAACAAATTAATTAATTAGAAATTTAAACTGATCATATTTGTATTTGTTTTTTTTACTAAAATATAATAAAAAATGTCAAATATTTTTCTATTTAATATTATTAATATATATAAAATTACAATCAATTTTGTGAATATTAAATATTACGACTAATTACAAAATGAATAAAAATGCAATTAATTATATTAAAAGCATTAATTTAAAACTATTTGTTGAACATTAAAATATTACAATATTTAAAAAATGTAATTGAAATTTTAATTGCAAGAATAACAATTAAGAAACAGTGGTACATAATTAAATCTAATAATAGTATACTGTTATTGTTTAAAGGAAAAATAAATATTTAACAAAGTAAAAATCAACAATTAAGATGTGGTATAACCATCCGAGCAAATCTAGGAACACTAAATGAAGCAGAATGTACATCTGGTGAATAATACTTAAGTTTATGTTTATCTAGTTCCTCTGTTGTGAAATTGTAAGCTGGCACTTTGAAACAGACATTCTATAATTAAACAATTTCATAACAGTAAAATAAAATTATGTGTAACCTATTTGTCTATGTCATAATACAATAGATAAAATTAATTCTTACCTCATTATCAGTGGCCATAATGAAACTGATATTACCAGTTGGATAAGATGGAATAGATATAGAAGCTAAAGTAACCTTTTTAAAGTTTGCTAAACAATCTTTGGAAAGTTTGATCATTGTAGTTTGATCTTCTTTAATCCAAATTGATCCAGCTTGGGAACATATGATACCTCCAGGTCTTAAAGATTTTTTTAATGACTCAATGTATGTTTTTTGAAATAGTGTTTCATTAGGACCTTAAATAATAAAGTGTATATATATAGTATAATATAACAGTACAATAATAAAGTGCAGTAAAATGCAATTGTTTATAAAGTACGTACCAACAGGATCTGAAGAGTCTGTGATTATAACATCAAATTGCTGGGCATTTCTTTTCATAAACTCAAAACCATCTTCTATATGCAAGGTAACTTTGTCATGTTGAAATCCACAAGCCATAAAAGGCAAATATTGTTCAGAAAGTTTTACTACTCGTTCATCAATTTCCACCACATCAATACTTTTAACTTTAGGATGTTTAACAGCTTCACGAGCTACACCACCATCACCACCACCTACTATTAAAACTCTTTCTGGATTAGGATGACTACACAGGGGTAAGAAACTTATCATTTCTTGATATGAAAACTCATCAAACTCAGTGCACTGGATAATGTTATCCAAAATTAAAGCTTTTCCAAATGATTTACTGTTTAAAAATATTAATTAGTAATTAAAAACACAAAATATTTAAATCTCACAAATACTTACGTTTGCAATACCATGATTTTTTGATATGGTGATTCCTCTTTGTGTAGTACTTTTTCTACTTCTAATGAAAGTCCAGCTCCTGGCCAAGTATCAGACTCGGTGAACCAGCCATCTTGTAAGTAATTCATCGTCGTTCAACTAAATTTCTTAAACATAAGTCTAAAATAATTATTATTGTAAGAATTACAAGTACTTACATATATACCAAGGTAAATTTATGGAAATTATTTATATTTACAGGTTAAATTACCTTAATAATAACTTGTTTTAAATATATAGCCAATGTACACTATTATATTACTCGTATAAACATTTGATTATTGTTTAAACGCAATCGTCAGGAATCATGAGTTTTGACAGCAAATCCCATACGTTACGATTTAATTGATTGTTTGACTATCAAAATGACTAACAAATGCATATATAAACGCTATAACTAGTAGATTTATTGAACGGTGATTATAGGGAGGAACAATTGCATTATTTTTTAAACATTAGCGATGTTTGATTAACATGTGTTTTTTTAAATTTGTTTATCATACTGATAACGGTTTATGATTTTGCCATCGATGATAAAGAAATAAACTATGGACACGATTTGATAATAAATAATTATTAATTATATAGGTAATAATTTATTATTAAGAAAATCGTAACTATCTATAACTTTTTATGAGCGTCTTGTAATGTTTAAACGATGTCATAATCGGGATTCGTGATCACCAGGGCTTGGAATTTGATGCATTTAAATATTTTTCGGGATTCTCTCTGTAATTCTACGTATTATGCAAAAACTGATTACAAATTAATTTTCTTGTATACACAATTGAAATAAAAAAAATTAAGTTCCTAAAGATTTTAAAAATATAAAACTTAATATAACTTGAAATAAAAAATTATTTAGCATTTAAAGAAATACAAATTTAAATACAATAAATTATAAGAAGTGTATATTATTAAATATTTAAAGGATAGTGTAACATGACAACTAGTAACATGAAAAAAAAAGTAGAGGGAATGGAGGAATATGGGTTACCTAGGTAAGAAATCTAATTCCCTCGAAATTAATAATCGAATTTTTAAGGTGGATTCCTTATGATGCGACAGTAGAAGCACAATTCAGTGACGGATTCCTTACAATACAAATGTCGATGCATGAGACGCGTGGCTGCAGTTTAGTCCACCATTCATTCGAGCACATTTCATCTATTAACAAGTTGTATAAGATATTAGGAAAAAAGTACCAAAGAAAAAGTACTCGGAAAAAAAGTATTATATTACAAAATTAAATATTAAAATAATATATAAATATTAATAAAAAATGAATCAAATTTTTCTTATATTATTACCTATATTTAATAAAAACTCTTGCAAAATAATTTAATTTTTATTTAAATGAACACACATTGCTTTTCAAAGATATTAAATTTGTTCTTAATTTTTTTTTTTTTTTACTTGCAAGTTCACAATCTAATCGTGCTTTATCGTGGTGCTATTAATTTATCAGCTAAGAATAGTTCATTAATTTTGATATAGATATCATGGAAAAAATATTGACATTATGATGTATTAAAACATATGAATGAACAATAAGTGTTCTACTATAACACCCAGTGCCGTAACTATATATTATGGGGCTGGTGTGCAAATATGAACTTGGGACCTAAATATTTTTTTAAAAAAGTATTAACCTACTATAAATAAAATATGTTAACTGGTGTTTATATTATGGAAGGTAGTCTATTGGATCTTTGATTTTAACTGTCTTAACATTTTTATAGATGTAATTCAATAGTTTTTTCAAATTATAATTAAGTTAAGTTAGATGTAGAACTATGGTATGGACACAATTTTTTGTATAGATTTACAGAGCAGCTATTGGTATTATAGTTTTAAACAATTTTAAATTTAATTTAAATTATAATTTTAAAATTTGCAAAATTTAATAAATTGTATAAATAAAGCACAATCACAACAACTGTCAATAAAAAATATAAACAGAATAATTCTGTTGAAAGTACCTACAGTTTGAATTCAACTACAAAATATAAATTAATTGTTTTGTTAATATTACTACATAATATTAATTGAAAATAAAAATTAAATTATTAATTATATAAACAATACATTTGTTGTAATAGTTATAAAATACAATTGTAAATATATTGTATAATTACAACAAATTTGTAACTTATCTAACAAAAATGTTTTTTTCTCGCTTTTGCATTTGAAAAGTTGATAATTATTTTCTCTATATCTATCTCGGAAGTTCTTTTCCTTTCTATATTCAGTATGGAAATATCACCGAGACGTTCTTGATTTATAGAACTACGCAAATAATGTTTAGTTAATTTAAACTTAGAAAAATTCTAAATGGTTAAAAATATAAGGTAAGCTGCTAGAATATCAGAAAAACTTGTTGATAAATCCATATCAATTATATAAAAAGCTAAATTCTGTATGGTCTTCAATCCTGATAAAATAGTCTAATCATATTTTGTAATATGTAGTTTAAGACACAATAATTGTAAGATTAGATGAAATATCACCTGTACCACGTGAATACAAATTTATAAAATCATATGATAATTTTATAATATAATCTTTATTTATTGAAATAGTATAGTATCTAAGACAGGTAAAAATTTTAAAATTATATTCATTAATGTCAAGTCGAGGCACCATCAAAATCATCAAACCTTTTATTTGCAAATATTTTATCAACTGAATAGATGATACTGTTATGTTCCATTTAGCACATAATTATTTCGATTTATTCAATATCTCATCACAATTATTCTCAATTGATAGATTTGACAAATTGATTGATTCAATAGTGTAGAAGCCATATCAATGAAAATATTAATTCCTTGTAATAATTTTGATGTAACATTTATCATAACAAATATCTTACAACTGAGCAATTGACAATTATTAATCGTGAAGGTGTAGGTAACCTTTTGTGTTTTATCTGCAATAAGTATAAGTATATATTTGTATATGTGTTATACCTAAGGCGATATAACAACAATTATCTACAATTATTGTCAAAAATAAATTTCTACAGTGTTCGTTTAATAACAGTAAAACGTTATCGCAATCACATTAAAAATATGTTATCGTAGACCCAACCGCGAATAATCGAAACTGCGGATAACGAGGGATTACTGTAATTTGATTTTATGAATCATTTTCAACAGCATCTGAAGTGATGGATGCAACTGAAAAATAATTAGAAAAAAGTAATTAAAACTTTATATAATATACAATACATAATACATGTATCATAATAGTGATAATACCTGATGGACTAGTTAGGATTTTTTTTTTTTTAATAAATTATGATATAATAATATACAATGAAATATATAAACAATTAAAGTACCTATAATTTACAACTTATTTGTTGAATATTTATTAATTCTTTTTAATTTAAATTTAAAATATATATTGAATAAATGTAGGTACTTTTTGAACTATAATTCTCTTTTATAATTTGATTTTATAGATTATTTTCAACCGCAGCCGAAGTGGATATAACTAAAAATTAATTAATAATTTACTTTCTAATAATATAATTTGAAATTTTTTTTTTAATATTGTAAGTACCTTACCTCATAAATAAATCAAAATATTTCTACATATTTATAATTGATTATAGTTCTTTTATTTTTAAATATTAATTTAATACTAAATCATTTACAAAATTAATAATATAGATACAATTTACGAATATTTACCTCATTTTTTAATCTACGATTTCATGATATTTACTGCATTATTATTTTCGTTTTGTTGTTTTATTTTTTTTTTTTTTTTTGTGCTAATCCCAACTACTCATACATATAGGTTTTGATATTTTTAACAAATTTAAAATACTATTAAAAAATTAAAACATTATATTAGAAAAAATAATCCCTTAAAATCACTTTCGTTGTTTAAAAAAAACAAACAGTGGGATAATTAATTCGTACAAGGTACCATTACCATTACCATTACCAGATACCATTACACTAAATATACATTTTACAAGTAAACCGCAGAAATACGAATAATATATAACTACATTATTAGCTTACTTTAATTGCTTAAAAATTGTTACATTATGTAAATATATCAAACTTTAGTTAGTGTATTCAGTGTATTTCCAATGTAATTGAATTTTTAGTTTGGCTCAGACATTAGGTAAAATTTTAGTCGATAAATTACGTTCCAAAAGTTGAAATGAAATATTCTTTTGAAAATGATTGATATGTAATTAATATTATCCTTCTATAGAACGTGTAGTTCACCTATCATGAAATATATAATTTAATAACTATATAAAATGTTTGGCAAAAACCGCTAGGTAGACCGCGATTACGAAAGAAAGATCGTGTCAAAAAAAATGTTCAGATAGTAGAATCAAAGACACATTGGAGAGAAATTGCAGAGGATAAAGATGAAGCGAGATGGCGGCAAATTTGTTCACATGAATGGTCTGGAATGCCGAAACCAACAAGAAGAATAAAAACTAACTATATAAATTACATGTAATTTTTGCCGTATCAAATATTTTTTAGACGGCGTCTTGGGTAGGCAATTTAAGATTTTGTTGAGATGATTGTTAATATATATATATTCGTATTACCTATAATAAATTGTAATTATTGACATTTAATGCTACACAATACAAATGTCTTATATATGATGATCACTCATCGCACATGTATGAAATACTTACACCATAAATATTTCACATGTTTAATATTTTTTTAAATATTTTACATTTAACATAGAGCCATAGATCATGATTATTTCATAGAATAGATAAAATATTGATTACATATTATACCTATTATTATTTATTGTTAGGCTCAAAACTTTATGCGCTAAAAAACAATAGAATATGTACATATTCGTATATATGAACTAAAAAAAAGCAAATATGCAGTTAATATGCAATTTATTTTTTTCAAAAATATTTATTGCATGTATAATTTTATAATAGCTTGAATAGCTAACTTCTCAGTGAAAATATGTTCTATCGATGACTGGATTTACAAAATTGACAATAGGTGAAAAATGCGCGAAAATTTAATAGAAAAATACGTCAAATCGAGAAAATGGGCACTGTTAAAACAACAATAGACAATTACGAGTATTTATGAACTTTCCAGTTAGGTAAATCATTTAGGTAAATCATTATTGAAAATGTATGTGAAAAGATCCTCAATCGAGAAAAGGGTAGAACTTCCAAAATTCCCCCCTTGCGCATGTGCCTGACTTTCGGAAAACCATTTATGGTGGAAATAGATCCAATATGTATCGACGAGATTTGTTTTAATGTTCTTAAACCGATATTTTTTAATAAAATATTTTTCGTTTTTTGTAAAATTTTTTCCCTCGATCACCTTGAAGAAATTTTAATTGTGTTAGGACATTTTCCACAATACACAACTATTAAACTAAAGCCAGTGATAACCCAAGTAAGTAAAAATATTTAAATTAAATAAGACCGGGCCGATTATAAGGAATTAACAATTAATACTTGGTTTTGTATAATTTAAAATATAAATATAAAGGCTACGGTTTGCGATAGCGCTTTTTTTTAAATTATTTAATTTACAATTTTCAAGTATCACAATTTTGTTGTTAATCTGTAATAAATTATAAAGACAATATACATTAATATGCTTAAAATCTTTAAATACGCGAAATCGTTTAAATTTAATTAAACATGCAAAAATATGCAACATTCATTTTTGTATTTTAATTGTGTGGAGCATAAAACGAATTTTTATCGAATCAGATTTTGAATATGCAGTTTCCTAAAAAAATATATAAATGCATGAAGTTCCGAGCCCTAATTACTCACTATTCAATTTATATAATATTGAACGCTACATTTTATTTTTATTAATTTAAACATCATTATTGTTTGTTTGGATTTATATTTTCTATTAATAATAAAAGTATTCAAAAATAAGGTTTGAAGGTCACAGAAATATTCAATGAAGTTTTTTGCTTACCAATAATTTTCTTAAACGCAATTAAAATCATGCTTAAACAGCAAATGATATGCGTATTCGATACGAACATTCAAATATTAATTAAATAACGGAACATTCATTATAGGTACCAATTTGGCAATACATCAAATATAAATCAATGTTTGTAAATAAGACATCTATTCAGACGAGCAATTTCAAATTTTTCTATAGAATACAAAATTAATGTACCTACATTTTATAATGTTTACAATAATCATATTATTCTGGCTGGTAAATGACAAAATGTAAATTTGAAGTGGCATCAAAACAAACCATCAGGTACAACTACATATAATTTCAACTAATAATTGACGTAACTATTATCTACTGATAAATACTTTGTGAATATTTTTATGGAAGAAATTAGTTAATATGTCATACCTACTTTTAGATTCTGAATAAAACGAGGAATGTATTGGTTTTATTATAAGTTTTTTTTTTTTTTTATACACAATTTTAACCAAAAAGATTGCTCCGCTCATAAAAATCATAAAGATTTTTGTTAGGAAATATTGTTTTTTTGGTATTTTAAAAGGAATAATTTTATAAATTTTCCAGTACTTTTTTAAAAAATGCAAAAAACAGTCGAAAAATTAATTAGATAAAAAAGTTTACGCGATAGTTTTCTACAAATTAAAATTTTTATTTTATTGTAATTAAAAAAATTCAAAAACTCAAAAAAATTGCTGTACAGACTTTGAAATTTTCACTGAAAGATTATATTAATATTTTTTATAAATGGTATTTTCAAAAGATTTTTTGAGTTATTTATAGAAAATTGAAAAATTTTTTACACTTTATTCTTTTTAAATAAATTCAATTTTTACACACCGGTAGTAAAAATGCTATTATATTAATTGCGCCGAAAATCGCAGGTTAAGAAAGAAAAATTTGAGATTGGAAAAAGATATACATCTATTGCGCCGATCGATATTCGAGTTAATACATTTTGCGACTACCTCATTGATACATAAATTGATGAAAATGCAACTTTTCCCTCGTATCTTTGGTCATCATGTAATATATCAGGTGAAAGAACAAAAAATACCTGTGAGGCATTCCACTAAGCGTTCGGGGAATATTTTTATTCACCCCATCCAAATATTTTTGTTTTTTATGAAGTTTTAAAAATAATGTAACGCAACAATCGTAATAAGTAATCTCTTAGTTATCACAAATAGACCAAACCATTAATTTATGACAAAAAAATAAATAGTAAATAGACATAACTAATTTTAATATTAAACTTTAGAACTTTTCAAAATTTGTAGGTTTAATGTAAATATATATTATAATATTAGTGTAAATACCAAGTATGTAAAATAATAAGTTTGATTTTAATTTTAATTTTTGTTTTTTGACATTATGATTTTTACTTGTACTGTATAGTTGTTATACCGGTGCAATAGATGTATGCCTTTTAAATATACACTTTTTATACCGGCGCAATAGATGTATACCTTTTTAATATACCCTTTTTATATCGGCGCAATAGATGTATACTATACAGGTAGTGTTCCAAATGCGGCGCAATTGACGAATACCGGGTAAAAATAGGTTCTTCCATAAGTTAACTGTGGATGCCAAAGTTATATTTTAGATTTTGGTTCCTATTACCCATAACATATATTGATTTAATAATATTCTTTTATACATAAAATACTTTGGATGTTGTATTTTATAGTAATATAAAATAAATTATTTTACATAATCTAGGCCCGGGCCTACAGGGCCTGTGCGGCTGTGCCTAAATACGCCTCTGACAACGGGCCCCTCCGGAGGTCCGGGCCCCTACTGCCCCACCCTCTCGCCGGCCCTGTGTAGGTACCTAACTAATGTGTTTCAGTAGATTTCAGTATATTGTAATCGTTGTTCATTACTACTTGAATTTTAATGACATATAATATATTTTTTCACATATTAAAACTTCACACAAAAATTGCTACTCCAAAGATTTGATAGCCCCCAAAAAGTTCCACCTTTTTAAAAGCCCCTTTTCTCTCTCCCATTAATGTATTCTGAACGTATCATATATACTTCTTAATTTGGTGAAATATGATTAAAACAGTGCGTGAATTTGTGTATATGAAATTTATAGGACTGGATCAAACTATTTTGTCAATAGTAAACTAGTAAATTTTTGTAATATGTATCAATAATAATAGTATTGTATGTAATAGTATAGTATTGTTGTTTCTATAATTGTATTCGATTTTAGATAGTATCGGCACTAACGTACCTAACATACCTATGTATTATACATTATGTGTAAATGGGTACATACTTTATACAGGTGTAGTGCGTTGGTATGGACGAGAATAGGTTCAAATGTCAGTCAATAAACTGCCATTGACCCAATGATAGAAATAATAAAAATAATAATAATAACGGCATGTCTAACTAAGGTCTTAGACCCCTGTGCGCATTGAATAAGAGGGAGAAAAAGTGTGGAAGAATGTGGGTGAGAGAGAGAGGGACCGACAAGGATTACGTTTACAACCACGGAATATTCTGAGGATCAACCGTGGTCCATGATTTTAATATTTGTTGTTTATTGGTTATCATCTGAGGGGACCGTATTATATGTATTACTTTTTCGTTATCACCGTCCGATTGTATCGTAGGCGTACTATACAGTTGTAGTTAGTATACTTGTCTATGAGTGTAGTGTATACCTATCACTTAGAGGAGGAAAATTCATCTAGCCAACATGACTCGATGACTGGACATTTGAGTGACATTTGACTGTAATATCACATGGTAACACACAACTACAGTGTCATTATATGAGATCTGGAAATCGTTACGTTTTTCGATCTATTCAAACTATTTGCTTCGATGGTTTTTCTTGCCGTGTACCATTATCACCACGGAACGGGATTATAGTGGGATTTTTTTTGTCTCCCCCTCCTAAGCGTTCCCTAAGCGATTGTATAAAAGAGAAGAATACAAAATAGTAAAGGTTAACAGGTTATGTTAACGAAATTTAAAAATTAAAATCAATTTGCCTGATATTAAAACACCAAACGGAGTCAAGTCGAGTTCGTAAAAATAATAAATTAGCGATAGTTAATTTAAGCAGTGGAACTTAAATTTAAATGCTAATTTCATTGTCAAGTTGAAGGTTTTGTTGAACCGGTCGAATTCCTCATTTACGTTAGCCTTTTGTGTAAGTACTTTTTTTACATTTTAAAAATAATACGAGAAAAAACATGAATTAATTTCAACCAATAGTCTCTTGTGCTCAAAATTTCGTATTTCATGTCAGTAATGTGAGTTTATGTAGTCTGATGTATAATTCTCATCTTCTATCCCAATTGTTCCAACTTTAACATTTAGTTTCCTCTACATTTGTCTTTATATAGATACAATTAAACTAGTCTGTAATTTCATTAGCGTGTATTACCTGTGTTAAACTAATCACTATCTCAGTATAGTCCTCCGAAAAAAATTATGATTATCTAAGCGCTAACAATTGTTGTTTGTATGCCGGTGAAATCTAATTTCGGAACAGTCAATTGCCAAATTGATTAATAACTAATGTGTAGGTAGATTGTTATACTGAAATCACTCTATTATTTATGAAAATATAATCTACTATTTACTTTTATCTGTTAAAATCTGGTATTTATGCTTTGGTTAATCTACTTTCAATATTTTATTTATAATAAATATATACTATATTATACTAACTACAATTTTTCAAATTAATTTTATTTGTGAGAAATAGTGAATTCTGTTCCTTGATTGTATCCTTTTAACTTAAGGTAAGATAATACAGAAGTTTTTAAAGTAATTTTCATCTTACATAATTATCCTATTTAATCAAAAAATAGTTTTTCTTAAAATATTTAAACATCAAGCTAATAAATTATTAACAATTATAAATGAATAAAAATTTTAACTAATAATTCATTTCTATGTTGAGTTTATGACTCTATATGTTTCTTTTAATTCATTAATGTTTATTAATTTATTAATTATTTATTTTAATTGTATACATTTTTTTTGCATTATTTATGTAATGATGTAATTTCTTGTTTTCAGTAATGATTAATATAGTAGTTTTTCCTGCAAATTATTATTATCAACATCAGGAAGAGACTTAGATAGTTGATTAAGTAATTTGTTTCAAGATATTTTAGTTATAAAGTAAGTAGTTTTATATTTGTATAGATTTCAGATATATTCTCTTTTTATTAAATAAATATTTAGGTAAAATATTGAGAATGACTAGAAAAAATTAATTAAGTTCTTTCTTTTTTTAAGTATAAAATGATAATAATACCTTCTAGATTTTTTATCATATAATAAATATTTAAAAATATTTAAATTCAATGTTAAATATAATTTAATTATTTTAATTTCTTATCTATATTATTTTAGATATTTCAAGTAATTTGATCACTATGCCTCCATACAATTCTGTTAAAAGCCTGCAATCTTTAGCGTTGGAACAGACATGCAAATATATATTGGATATTATCCCTCAAATGAGAAAAAATATAAATGGCTTTCGTGAATATTTTATTAATAATGCGCACGCTTGGGCTAGAACCACCATCTTGGACTACACTAAAGTTCTATTGTAAGTTATTTTTAAAACAATAAGTAATAAGTATAAAAAGTATACTTTAAATAACACCTAATATAAATCCAAATTAAAAAATTACCATCCTTAACATGTATCTAATTTATGAAGTTTAGAAAATTATTAATAAATCTTATATTGTTAATATTGTATTAATTTAGAGATAATGGTGAAAAAGATCATCAAATTTGGCATGAACTCGATGGTGTTTTTGATAGAAATCCATATTTAAGACTAATATGTTCTCAAATACGCAGATGGCTTGTTATAGCAAGTACAATGTTGGATGTTGGAGTTCATCGATTACCACCAATAGTTTTTGAGGGTTATATGGAACGTGAGTTCCACGATTTTGTTTCTCTTTTAAGTCGTTGTGATACTCATCTTAGAGGACTATGTATAACTTTTATGGTAAGTTTTTATTTATATATTCTTAATATCAATTATCATATATTTTATTTTTATAGATGTCAAATAAAAATGATTATACTCCATCAGTGTATTCATCAATGTATATACTTCAAAAATCACTTCATGAAGGTTTAGCATCAAAACTTGTATTTCTAAAGCTTTTTGCTATTTGTGATAATTCAATGTTGAAAATTATTGGTGAAAATGCCCTATTCTTGAAACATTTAGATATAACCGGTTCATGGAATGTAGATGAAGCAGGCATCAAATATTTATTGTTTAAAGTATACATTTTATTATTATAATTATTTATGATTTCTAATTTTTTTTTTTTTTTAGAATAATATGCATGTAGAAATAAACAATGTATCTAATGATGAACTCTGCAAACAGCTTAGTCTAGTATATGATGATGAATCACTTTTAAATGTTTGTTGTTTTACCTTAGAACAATTGAAAATTCAAGATACTAATACAGAAGATGCCAGTTTGTTAATGATTCTCGCATGTGTCAAGAGTCTAAAATCCTTAGGGGGTTTTCTTTATTTTAGGTTAGATAATAATTTTCTTTTTAAAATTATATTTTAATAACCAATTAATTTTATTATTAAGGAATATTGGAGATGCACTGGTGACAGTATATGAGAATTCTCTTAAGCCTCGAATTTTCCAATTAACAGAGTTATATGATATGCAGCTGACCAGTAAAAAAATTGCTATTCTCAAGGAATGTCTACCACATTTAAAAAAACTGTATACCCGACTGTCTTGTGTCTGCACTCCTCGGGATTTTGCTGATCCGGAGCAGGGTTCAATGTTTTGGGGTCGTGTTCAAATTCTTACTATTGATCTTGATTACATGATGAATCGTCATTTCATCAATTTTGTGAAAAATTATGGCCATAACTTAACAGAGCTCATCATTCTTGATCAGGTGCATTTATGAATCAGCTTTTTTTTTATGTGTTGTTTAAAGTATTATAATTACAGAGCACACAGTTATCTTCCGTTCTGCCTAATTTCCAGGAATCTGATATTGATGTTGCTAAACTATTAAAAAGTTGTCCAAATTTACATGTGTTAAAAGGATATTTACATATTTTTGAAACACCAGATGGTCAGTTTACCAAACTCAAATCAATTGAATTGCATATGCCTACTGTTGAAACAATAAATTGGTTTTTTGAAAATTGCCCTTGTTTAGAAGAAGCTAAGGTATTTTATACTTATATATTTAAATTTATAATTGACCCACACTTGAAAGTACTTGACAGTACAAATTTTGTCTTTTAAATAAATTACATTTTATCAATAAATTAAATTTATTTCAGTTGTATAGTGATTCAAGGAATTTGTATTGGAATACACAAATTTTTGAAAGGCCACCTCTTATCATGTGCAATAATCTCAAACGATTGGAAATTGTATTTAATGATGAACATCCAATTGTGAGTAAATATTTTTACAAGTATTAACTATATACATTATTCTTTAATATGTACTAATGTTACTTTTTGTGTATTTATTTATAGATTAATCACCAAACAGTTATTCAATTCATTGATAAGTGTTCAAATTTACAACATTTGGGACGATTAGATAAATGGAACTTGGACAAAAAATTTGTTAAACAAGTAAAAAAATATATTCAAGAGATGAATTATGAGCTTGAAATTTATTAGATGATAATATTGATTTGCCAATAAGACTGATATGTTAGATCTTAACTTATTTATAGATACAATTGTAAGGTATTTTTACACTATTTGTTGTTTTGACCTTTAATATGACTTTATTGTGATGTATTGAAATTAATATTAGACTCAAAATATTTTCATAACAATATCATAAAAAAAAAAAAAAAAAAAAAAAAACAATAATAATAAATATATGTATATATTAATTTTATTTTTGAACAGAGTCTATATGATTTCTTGTAATTTTGTTTATAAATTTATAATATATATCGTCATCTTCATTTTCACAAAAATCTATAATATACGATACCTTATTATCCTGAAAAAAACAAAAACAGTTGGTCAAGGCTTGAATTTAAATGTTTGATATTTCATTTACTTCAATAATAGAGTCTATTATTTTATTTTTTCTCGTTAACTTCCAGAGATTAATAGCTAATGTAGCCATTTGAATTTCATTTAGATCTGCTCTGACAATGATACGTATGAGCAATTCAAATGCCAATTGTTTCTGCAAAATAATTATTATATTTTGGTATATTAAATTATTGAATAATATTTAAAACATACTTGACAACTAGGTTTATCAGCAATGTTTTTTAATTGTTCAAGTATGTTGTCCAACAAAATGGTACACATAGAGTCTACATCAGCCACAAACTGTGGTTCACGGCCATAGAGAACATCGTTAGAATCCACTAATGAATTATATTATATAAGTTGTTTACAATTTAGTATTGATTCTAAAAATCATATCATTCATTACCATCTGGTATTCTGTAAGGATATGTGTCCAATGTTGCAGTAGCCATCATATCTAGTACGTACAAATAGAGTAAATGTGGTTGCATTGGATCTGTCCAGGAGTATTGTCTGATAGAGTTGATCAAAATTCTTACTTGATGCATGACTTCTTGATCAGGACAATCCTAAAGTTCAAGTAACATGAGTAATATTATTAAATATTAAGTTATTGAAAAGAAATCAAACAAATATTACTGGCACTACAAGTAAAATTGACAACATTTGCTTAATATAAGATACAAGTATGGGTTCAGTATTAATTGTGTGACCGTCAATTTCTAGTAATGCTGGAAAATCTCTAACTGTAATTGACGCTGCTTTCAGGCATGCATCAGCTGAAATTAAAAATGTCATACTAATTATTAACTGTTAAACAAACATGTTTAATGTTATCCATACCTTGTCCAAGACATCCATTTAAGAGTGATGTTTGCCCAGTTAAAATATAAAGTTGCAGTTTGACAAGTGGAGAAGTAATGGATGGAATAGTAATATAACAATATGCTGAGCATGCACGTGCAAATGAATTTTTAACTAGCACTCTTGATGCTGATACAGACATGACCATTAATTTATTCACGCACTAAATAATTGTAATAACCGAAATATTTACAACACAAACGGAATATTTTATAATAAGCTCTTACTTGTATGAGTGCCGATTGCACATAATCTAATCTTATAAATACTCCTCTGGCTTCCATATAGAAATTCAAATATTTTTCTAGATCATTGCCATAATTGACACGAAAAATAAAACAAGCTATTAGACGACTAATTTGACGTACTTCATCTTCAACTGTTAAAGAACTAAAAATATTAATTATATGTAGTAAGTATTAATTAGTCTTAATATTCAAAAATTACATACTCAACAGAATCGTGTAGTATCTTGCACATGTACATAAGACAATCATTAATCACAGGGTCAGTTGACATGACATTTTCCCCACGTGTTCGGTATGCTTCTAAAACAATTTTACAACTAGCTGCTTTATTTGTATCTGATCCAAACATGTCCAAGTAGGGCAATAAATAGTTCTACAAATAAATTATATATAATACATTTATAATTTGATATTTAATTTAATTTGGTTGGAATACTCACTAAATGGAATGTATTTTCAAAATCTTCTATATAATTAAGTAAATGTTGTAAGATATTATGTAGCTGTGAATGAAATCGTTCTATTCCTACACGATTACTCAAGTGTCTAGTTATATCATTCATGAATATGCTTATTTCTTTATTCTTTATGTAATGCAATAAAATTATTACTCGAACATAGTATTAGTATATTATTTAAAATAAAATAATTAACTTTGGATAGTAGTTTACCTTGAAATGTTTTACAATGAAGTATATCCAAGCTTCAGCACATGCCATATATCTTTCAGAGTCTTTAACTTTGGTTACCATTTTCCATGCTTCTCTTAAAACATTTTGAGCATTCGGTACAATATGACCTCTTAAGCTATTGCCAAGATTTTGTATAACTAAAGTTTGTGGAACAACTAAATAAAAAAAAAAATGTATAAATTCTATATTATAAATCAACATAAGTATATAAGGCTTCACAAAATGTCAATAATTTATTAATAAAAAATTATAGAAATGTCAAATTACCTTGTAGAATAATTTAATCTAATTTAAAAGTACACAATTTTATATAAAATTTGTTTGAAAAAGTATAGTAAAATATATAAAAAAAAACTAACCATCATATTCCCATTTTGATATTAAATTAATAAGGTATTCTGCTTTTATTGCTAGATAATTTCCAGGAAATGTGTTCACTATAGTGTTGATAAGTAGTCCACTGTTAATCATGGTATTTTATTGAAAAACAAAAATAATAAAAAAAAAAATTAAAGAAAAATATTTGTAAATAATAAAATTACTCACTGGAGATTTTGTAATGTACACCACCTAACAATCTCATCAAGTTTAAGTGCATCTTTTCCAGCACTTAATCCTTTTACTATCCACTCTAATGCTGGACACAAAAGTTGAAAAAATTTCTCCATGCTCATATTTTGAGTTTGCACCTCTTTACTAACATATCTACTGTTTAACTAGAAAACAAAACATAAGTAAAAAGCAGGATATTTAATAAATCAGGATATTTTACTTGTTTATAAGTCAATAAGATGTCCTTGAAACTTTCTTCAAAATAATTTACAGTTAAATTTGTAGAAACATAGATCCTGCATAGATAACATCGTGCATACAATGCTACTAAAGGATTACCAATTCCACGAACCATTTTTATTAGTCTTAATAAAGCATTGTTTTGTTCACTGTAAAATATTAATCCATAACTAAGAGTTTAAAATTAATTATTTAATATACTAACTTTGGATTGATAAAACGGTAACTACGTAAAATAGCTGCTTCAATGTACAGTCTAGGTAGAAGCTCACGAATAGATGCAATTTTAAAAAACCAATTTTGACATGTTTCTTTTGCTCCTTCTGGTACCATATTTGGGGTAAAATTATCTGGAAGTTTTACTACATGACCACTAATTCATAAAAATTACAAAGATATATTAGTATATCAATTAATTTATTTTAAACATTAGGCGTACACTTAAAATTTTTATTTTATAAGAATCTTACTCAATTATTTCTGATTTTGATTTAAGCCTCTTAAATACTAGTTCTCCAAATAAGTCTAATAAATCTGTTACTAAAACAAATTTACTTGGATAAAACTGCATTGGTGAAGTGTAGCTTAAAATTTTGGTACACTGAAAAAAATGTTGGTCATGTAGATAGTTAAGACAATAAATAAATGAATAATACCTGTATAACTATTTTCAATGCTTTCACTCTTTGTTCATTACTCCATGCATGAATAATTTCTTTACCCAAGTTGTCCATATGTGATACAAATTCTTGTTGTGTTAAATCATATAGCTCTTTTTCTGAATATTCTACTTGATCGTCAAATTCTTCCAGTTCTTCTAAACGTGATCGTATAGTAGCACTCTGAACATTTTTTGAAACTAAAATGATGATAATAACGATGCAATGATGCTATTACTAACACATTATTTTTATATTACTTACGAGAATGAAATGAAAGTTTTTCAGAAGTTGTGTAACTGTTCAATATGCTCTGTTTATAATGTGACCAGGGTGGTAAATCGTCCAACCAATCATTATCAGCGTCATCAAAAGCAGTAGGAGTTAATTGAGCAGGTCGGCTTAGAGGATCATCTCCATAAGTAATTGAGGATGATAAAGGATCATCAATCAATACATTTTTATTAGTGAACTGCAAATAAAATAAAAATAAATAAAAATTTTAACTATAAAACAGTTTATCAATAAAAAGAAAACTATCTACAAATAGTTCGAAAATAATTATTTATTATTAGTTTTTATTTAATGCTATAACTGAATTAATAAGCTGAAAATATAAAATTAATAATAACTATGAAATGTATAAGTATAAATTATTTGTGTATTTAAATAACATTTTAAGTAGTGATATTTATCAAAAATAAAATTTGGAACAATGTTTAAAAAAGCAAATAATATAATGTTAATAAATAATGTTTTTTTAATATCACTAGACAAATTTTTCAATTTTATAACAATTTAAAATTATAATTACATACCACAGTTGTAGATGTTAGTTTTAATGGATGATGGTCACCACATTTTTCTAGAACACAATTTTTTTTACGCTTGTTGTAGTTAATAATAGGTTTACTATACCTGTCAATTAAGAAAATAAATAAATAAACATTTATAAGTCACTGTTAGTAAAAAGATGATTAATTGTAAATTAATGCATTTGCATTTATAGCAGTTGAAAAAAAAATTTAATTCACCATTCTGTTCACAGGAAAACTTAATATTTCAAACTATTTAAAAATTGTTTTAAACTTAATCTTAAAATGAGTATGGATTAGAAAGGTAGTATTAATATAAATTCTTTAGATATAAAAATTTAGATTTGAGTTATAATATAATACATTTGTTAATATATAGCAGCTACCTATACATTTTGTATTTTATTATCTTACACCATAATAGTTTATAAATAACTATTATTGTATAATATTTAATAACAATATGTATACGTATATGTAACAATATATAACTAATATGTATCTAGTAAATAAAATAATTATGATGCTATGAAATTAATTACATATATATTATTGAAAAATTATGCGTTTTAACACTTACCAATTCCATTCAAATGTGCGAGATGACATGTTAAGCTATAATTTAAATGTTTAATAAATAATAAATTCAGAATTGCCTATGAATACCTATATTAAACAACACAGAAAGATAGCAATTAATATAACATTTATATTTTATTATTATTTTTACAACTTTTAAAGTCAACGTTTTTAAAATTGAAGTTCTTAGTTGCGTTTATCAATCAAGAAGGACATGTTCAGATACACTCTTCATGATTGAAACCACGGTTTAAAATATATTATAAATATATATATTTTAAACCGTGATTGAGATGTTATTATGATCACTGATAACGTAGAACTTAATATTGTGGGCTTGGGTCAGTTCTCCTCATTGATAAGAGATAAAAATGATAAGAAAACATTTTATTATGCAACACCAACTGTTCGGAATCAAAATTTTTACTGCCAGGAATTTAACACCAAAGAATTAGGATACTGTGTTTATGTATTTTATGTATTTAACGGTTTACTAATAACATTTTAAAATTATAAATCATTTTCACTTTGGTTATTGTTTAAGACTATCACCTGCGATTATTTCATGAAAAAACTTTCAGCGATTATATTTAATAATAATCAAATAATAATAATTACTTAGTTTTGACTTATATGTACCATTCTTGAGGGATGCAATCAGTGAAAGAGGTCTTGATCATACAATTACAACATCGTCAGTTCCAAGCATTTATAATAGTGAAATAATTAGGTAAGTTTACTTTTATTGTATAATCATTGTTATGTGTATGCAATGTCAGAGTTATA